TTTATTTATTTATTTGGAGAAGGGCTTTTGCCCTTGTTGCCCAGGCTGGAGTGCAATGGTGCGATCTCGGCTCACCACTACCTCTGCCTCCTGGGTCAAGCGATTTTCCTGTCTCAACCTCCCGAGTAGCTGGGATTACAGGCATGCGCCACCACGACCAGTTAATTTTGGTTTTTTTTTTTTTTTTTAGTAGAGACATGATTTCTCCATGTTGGTTAGGCTAGTCTTGAACTCCCAACCTCAGGTGATCTACCCGTCTTGGCCTCCCAAAATGCTGTGAGCCACTGCACCCAGCCAAAACCTTCTATTTCTAAGTTTCACTGTTTGTTAGATTTTGCTTATTTTTTTTAACCAACATAATTCTTAGCTATATTAAAGTTTCTACTAGCTACTATGAGTGCCTGTGTATTCAGGCTTTCATTTCTGAAATGACAAGTAAGCTTACTGCCTGGAATTTCTCAAGCATTACTGAAATTTTGCATGGTTTTTCTATACACTGTGGCTGCAAATAATACTGCTGAATATATATGTGACCCTTTCAAATTAACTTGTGGCTTTAACTGATGTGTCAGTGAAAATAAACTGAATTTCCTTGAAATTCTAAAACATTAGTGTAAATATAGTTGACTTAAATCTTACAGTGAAAGATTAAGAAGATTCCTTAGGGTCCCAAAAAGATAGTCAAATCCTACTTATTATTGCCTAATCTAGATGTTTTAAGAACTATATTAAATTCAACAATACTACTATTGCTATTAATAAGACAGTCGATGCCCAAATGAAATAATTTTTTAAGACCAGAAAACATACACTAATCATGTATTTAAATTACTCAACCAAGCCTGTTGAAAACTCAACACAACTCACATATTTTTAAAATATTTCATTGCTAAGTTAGAAAAATATACTTCCAAAAAAGGAAGCAAAGATATTATTTCCATTTTTAAGTTTCTCTTCTCCAACATATTATGTAAATACATCATGTCATCTTTCTTTCATATTATATTAATATTGTACAGATCAATACATAAAAATTAAGCAAAAAGTTAAACTATGTTTTTTGTGTGTGTTTTTTTTTTTTTTTGAGACGGAGTCTCGGTGTGTCGCCAGGCTGGAGTGCAGTGGCACAATCTCAGCTCACTGCAACCTCTGCCTCCGGGGTTCAAGCAATTCTCCTGCCTCAGCCTCCTGAGTAGCTGGGACTACAGGTGTGTGCCACCACACCCAGCTAATTTTTGTATTTTTAGTAGAGACGGGGGTTTCACCATGTTGGCCAGGATGGTCTCGAACTTTTGACCTTGTGATCCGCCCACCTCAGCCTCCCAAAGTGCTGGGATTACAGGCGTGAGCCACCGTGGCCAGCTAAACTATGTTTTATCAACTTTGAAATAAGACATTGTTCCGCCGGGCATGGTGGCTCAAGCCTGTAATCCCAGCACTTTAGGAGGCCAAGACGGGTGGATCACGAGGTCAGGAGATCGAGACCATCCTGGTTAACACGGTGAAACCCCGTCTCTACTTAAAAAAATACAAAAAACCTAGCCAGGTGGGGTGGTGGGTGCCTGTAGTCCCAGCTACTCGGGAGGCTGAGGCAGGAGAATGGCGTAAACCCAGGAGGCGGAGCTTGCAGTGAGCCCAGATCTGGCCACTGCACTCCAGCCTGTGTGACAGAGCGAGACTCCGTCTCCAAAAAAAAAAAAAAGACATTGTTCCACATGAATTAAAATTTATAACTCATGATTATATTCTTGAACATATAAGTATTGAGCTATTTGAATACTTAACTATACATTCTATTTAGACATGGTAAGAGCAGCTAATCAATTTGAAAAAAGAAATTAAAAAATTTAGTATCTAAGAAAAGTTCTCAGAAACAATAGTATAAAAAACTAGTATTAGTAAAAACTAGTAGAGTATACTTAATCCTAATTCAGAATCAAATAATAAAACACATTATTTACAATCATTTCTTAGGGGTAAGAACAAATTTAAAGCATAATGGAACTGGTGGCTCACACCTGTAATCCCAGCACTTAAGAGGCTGAGGCAGGTGGATCACGTGAGCCCAGGAGTTTGATACCAGCCTGGGCAATGTGACAAAACCCTAATTAGCCAGGTTTAGTGGCGTGTGTCTATAGTCCTGGCTACTTGGGAGGCTGAGGTGGGAGGATCGCTTGAGCTTGGGAGGTCAAGGCTGCAGGAGACGTGATTGTGTCACTGCACTCCAGCCTGGGTGACAAAGTGAGGCCTTGTCTTAAAATAAATAAATAAACTGTAATAGAACTGACCTTTAGAAGTTCCTCTGATGTAGGTCGATCTTGAGGGATTTTCTGGAGGCAAGAATCTACAAAGTTGCGAAAATAATCAGACCTATTGTAAAGGAAAGTATCAAGTGAACACATTGCTATTTCCTTTAAAAATACATCCACAAATCAAGGCACGTGCCTATTGGTGGGAGGGGGAATGGAAAGGGAATGATTTTAAAAAAGCAGAGACTATATAGTTTGATGTAAGTCTATGAAGATCTATCTAAAGCAACCAATGAATGTTTACCATTTTCCAAAGATAAATTCACACAGATTACTTTAAAATCCTGCTCCTACGTATTTAAATATCACAACTCATACTACTGTATTGAGGCAAAATGAGGGAAGCCTATCTACTTTTTTTTTTTTTTTTTTTGCATTCAAACCCAAGATAATATTCCTTTCCAATTCCCTTTTTTTCTTTTCCTTTTTGCTAAGCCTTTCTTATAATACGCTCTTTTCTTATTTGCCCCTTGGATCGTCTTCTATATAGCATATTTCAGAATATCACTCTATCTGCTCTGGAGAGAGCGTTTTTATACCTGAGTATTTGGTGCCCCTAAGCAAATGGGAAAGACTTCCATTAAACCTAGAAAACCTATTAAGATATTTTTTAAAATGTTAGAAGTCTGTAACACATTATTATATAGTGTTATTGACAAGAGTTCAGTGAGTAAGGCAGTAAATAATTACTCCATCAATGTTTGTCTCCAATATTCAAATAAGATTTTAAGTTCCTTGCAGGCAAGAATTCTTTTATAAATCCCCAAGTCTCAAACACAGTGTAAAGACAGTCTGTGTTCAATATATTTATTACTTACATGTATCAACTATGGTTTCAATGTTTTTGTTTCTCCAAAACTGATGTTGAAACTTAATCTCCAATGCAACAGTGTTGGGAGGTGGGGCCTAATGGGAGTTGTTCAGGTCATGAATGGATTAATGCTGCTATAAAAAGGGCTTGTGGGAGAGGGTTCTCTCTCTCCCGCTCTCTGCCATGTGAGGACACAATGCTTCTCCCCTGCAAAGGATGCAGAGTTAAAGGCACTATATTGTAAGCAGGAGGGCCAGGTCCTAACCTGCCAGTGCCTTGATCCTGGACTTCCCAGTCTCCAGAAAATGAGAAATAAATTTCTGTTCTTCATAAATTACCCGGCCTCTGATACTCTCGTTACAGCAGCACAAAATGTACTAAAGCATACCATGACACTAAACGCAGTGTCAAAAGATTCGTTCTACATAATTCTAAACACAGAGTTATACAGAAAGAATCTTTTGGCACAGAGTTTTAGCATTATTAGTTTAGTAGAGTTACACGGCACACTCTTAAATGGCAAAGACTTATATGAATGAGACATAATTATGTACTCTTTAAATAATTAAGTACCCCTAATTTACATATCTGTGATTTTCAAAATACTAATATGCTAGCTATTCCCCTAGAATTTATCAAATGCTAGATACACCTGAGGAATTAATTTTCTACTAAAATTTTATACTGTTGATAAAAAATCCTAGTTTTCTAAAACTGTCAATCTGTTGTCCATAAACCTCTTTACACGAATGAACTAAATTTTATTAAATCAACGAAGCCCTAGAAGGAATATCAGATAAAACTGAATAACATATTATAGTTAGAGTGATCCCAAAAATTTTAATTACCTGGTAATTTTGATAAAGTAAATCATTTTACCTATATTTTTATATCATATAAATTATAAACCATCCTGCAATCAAATATCACTATAGGTTTTAATAATAAATAGTTTAGTTATAAAATATTAATGCTTAAATGCTATTTATTATTTAATAAGGATTAGGTATTCCTAAATTTAAAGAAAAAGTAAAATACAAATTCTTGTAAAAATGAATACTTTTTGCATTCATGTGACATCATCCATCCTTTTCTGAACTCAGTTATACATAGGCTATAAAATGGAAACATGATAAAGAATAAATATAATATTTAAAAGGCTAAAATAAATCTATTTTAGTATCTTATAAGGTGATACATTTTACCTAATTGAAATTAAATCACTTTGATAACAGATTATGAAAAAGCATTTCATTTATTCAACATTGAGCAATATATATATTAACAATACTCACCATTCATTAGACTGTAGTGTAGGGGATTCATTTTGGGCTATGTGATATAAGGCACTCATTGCATTCATATTAAATAAAGGAGGCTTCCTTTCCGCTGTAAAAGAAAGGAAACATTCCTGTTAAAATAGGTGCCAGGGTACTCTAGTACTGGGTACATTTTTCTTTTTTTTCTTTTTTAATGATTTTATTTTGAAACAATCTTAAACTTATACAAAAAATTGCAAGTAGAGTTCAAAGAGCTTTTTTTTTTCCTTTTCTTTTTTTTTCTGAGATAGGGTCTCGCTCTGTCACCCAGGCTGGAGTGCAGTGGCACAATCTCAGCTCACTACAGTCTTGACCTCCTATGCTCAAGCAATCCTCCTACCTCAGCCTCCCGAGTAGCTGGGACCACAGGTGTGCACCACCATGCCCAATTATGTTTTGTATTTTCTGTAGAGATGGGGTTTCACCATGTTGCCCAAGATGGTCTTGAACTCTTGAGCTCAAGTAATCCTCCCAACTCAGCCTCCCAAAGTGCTGGGATTACAGGTGTGAGCCACTGCACCCAGCCTCCAAGAACTTTTTCAAGTGAATCAATTGAGAATAAATTGCTGACCTGATGCCTCACCATCCTTAATATATACTTGAGTGTATATTTCCTATAAAGAAGAACATTTTCCTAAATAATCATAATATATCCATTAAATCAGGCCATTTAACAGTGATATAACTATCATCCAATCCCCAAACTACATTCAAGTTTCATTCAAATGTCCCAATAATATCCCGTGTAGCAATAGTGAGCTTTGAGTATTGGCAATCTTCAAGGAATTTGTTCATTTTATCCAAGTTGTCAAATTTATTGACATAAAATTGTTCATATTTCCCCATTACTCTTTTAATACCTGTAAAATCTATAGTGATTATAATCTCTTACTCCTGATATTGGAAATTTGTGTCTTCTCTCTTTTATTTTGTGATTAGTCTGGCTAGAGGTTTAACCATTTTATTGATCTCAGAGTACTAGTTTTTGGTTTCACTGACTTTCTCTATTGTTTTCCAGTTTTCTATTCAACTGATTTCTGCTTTGATCATCACAATCCTCTGCTTATTTTGTGTGCAATTTGCTCCTTGTTTTAGTTTCTTAAGGTAAAAGTTGAAGTCATGACTTTGACAAATTGAAGTATGGTTGCCCTTCTGTATCTGTAGGTTCTGCATCCACAGACTGAACCAACCAACTGAAATATTTCAACCACAGACTGAAAATATCTGGGGAAAAAATAATAAAAATAACAACGAAGACTTTTTAACAATAAAAAAATTAAGAATTTTTATTTATTTATTTATTTTTTGAGACGTGGTTTCACTCTTGTTGCCCAGCCTGGAGTGCAATGGCGCAATCTTGGCTCACCACTACCTCCACCTCCAGGGTTCAAGAGATTCTCTCCTGTCTCAGCCTCCCGAGTAGCTGGGATTACAGGCGTGCGCTGCCATGCCTGGCTAATTTTGTATTTTTAGTAGAGACGGGGTTTCTCCATGTTGGTCAGGCGGGTCTCAAACTCCCAACCTCAGGTGATCCACCCGCCTCGGCCTCCCAAAGTGCTGGGATTACAGGTGTGAGCCATTGCGCCCAGCCAAAAATACAAATTTTTAAGACAGCTACTTACACGGCATTTATATTATATTAGGTATTATAAGTAACCCAGAGATTATTCAAAGTATATGGGAGGATATGCATAGGTTACATGAAAAACTAAGCTATTTTATATGAGACTTAAGCATCTGCACATCTTCTTATCTGAAGGAGTTCTGGAACCAATCCTCTGAAGATACTGAGATATACAGGACTCTTGAATGTACCTCACTTTGAGATTTTCTGACATTTCCTATTATCAGAGTTAGGCTAAACACCTTTGGCAGGAGTATCACAGAGGTAATGCTATAATTTGTATCCTATGAGGTGGCACTTGATTTTGAGAAGTTCTGTTATTGATGGTATTCACTTTGATCACTTGATTAAGGCCCATGTCTGCCAGTCTTCTTCATGATGAAGTTTCTCTTTTCTCCTTTGTAATTAATAAGCATTTTGCAAGATGGTACTCTGAATCTACATAAATATTCTGCTTCTCATGAAACGTTCAACTTTATTCTTTTATTTATTGTATGGAGTCACAGATTTTTATTTTAATAAGTTATATCATTTATTTTGATGTTCAAATTATCTCATATTTGAACAGTAGAAACCTTTTTAAGCTGGCTTTTGTCTTTTGGACATGGTCCCATTATTATTATTTGGTTACTTTCTTGCTTTCTGGTACACTAAGATGTCCTAGCTTCATCTTATGCTTTCCCTAGCCCAGACCCTGGATCAATCATTTCTCCAAGGGGCTGTTGTGCTAGGTGTGCTTACTGCTGCTGGGGTGTCACTGCTCTCAGACACGCTCAATGAACAGAGTTGGGATTATATACATGTACACAATACATTTATACACCTATGTGTACAAATACATGACATATATTAGATATTTATATTTGAAAACAATAAATATTGTAGTACAATATCTCAAATTCCAATCCAACATCATGTTTATTTCTAGCTTTCTCTTTCCTTATTTGTAAAATCCTTCTCTGACAATGAGAGAAACCCTGCTCTCATTATCCTTAACATATCTCTCTCTCTATATATATATATATGTGTGTGTGTGTGTGTGTGTGTATATATATATATATATTTTTTTTTTTTGGAGACGGAATTTCACTCTGTTGCCAGGCTGGAGTGCAGTGGCACAATCTCAGCTCACTGCAACCTGCGCCTCCCAGGTTCAAGCAATTCTCCTGCCTCAGCCTCCTGAGCTGGAACTACAGGCATGGGCCACCATGCCCGGCTAATTTTTGTATTTTTAGTAGAGACAGGGTTTCACCATGTTGACCAGGCTGGTCTTGAACTCCTGACCTCAGGTGATCTGCCAGCCTTCGCCTCCCAAAGTGCTGGGATTACAGGCATGAGCCATCACGACTAGCCCTTAATATATTTTTCTATCTGATAAATTCCTCCCATGTAACCAATATCCCATCTTTGTGATCATCTTCTCTCTCCTTAAGCAGATGCCCTCCTTTCTCTGTTCAAATTCTGAATCCCCATTCCACTTCACCCTACAGTGTGAATAAACCTCTTGGTCACTAAGTCTTTTAAATGGTATACCATCAATATATCAAACCTATATCAAACTAGAACATATCTTTTTAATTTTGTCACTCACTATTAAATTAAAAATCTCTCAATTTTATCAAAGAACATTAAACTTGGCTAAAAATCACAGAAGCGATTCACCGAATTTATGTATTAGACTCTCATAAATTCAAATAACTTTTTTTTTCTTGAGTCAGAGTCTCACTCTGTCACCCAGATCAAAGTGAAGTGGCAAGATCTCAGCTCACTGCAGCCTCTGCCTCTCCGGTTCAAGAGATTCTCCTGCCTCAGTCTCCCAAGTAGCTGGGATTACCGGGATGCACCACCACATCCAGCTAATTTTTGCGGTTTTAGTATAGATGAGGTTTCACCATGTTGGCCAGGCTGGTCTAAAACTCCTGACCTCAAGTGATTTGCCCACCTTGGCCTCCCAAAGTGCTGGGATTACAGGCATAAGCCACTGCACCCGGCCAAATATTTTCTGTCTCAAATTTTTATAAGCTACTACTAAACTTTTTCCTTTTTTTGAGATAAAGGCTTGATCTGTCACACAGGCTGGAGTGCAGTGGCACAATCTTAGCTCACTGCAACCTTGACTTCCTGGGCTCAAGTGATCCTCTCACCTCAGCCCCTCAAGCAGCTGGGACTACAGGCGCATGCCACCATGCCCAACTAATTTTTTTGTATTTTTTTGTAGAGACGGGGTTTCTCCATGTTGCCCAGGCTGGCCTCCAACTCCTGAGCTCAAGTGATCTTTCCACCGTGGCCTCCTAAAGTGCTGCAATTAGAGGCATGAGCCACCACTTAATTTTAAAACAAATTTATTTTAAGTTACAGATACTATTTCTTATTATCTTGTGCATGTTTCTAAACTGTCTCTACCCATAAATTTGAACTGCTTCTGTAAAATTAATACCTCCAAAATTCAAAAGGAAATTAGATGAAACCGAGACAGAAGAACTGAACGGTCTAGAAAGTAAATCTCAGAAACAATGTCCAATAATAAAATTTCCAGAGAAAGAGTTCAAATTATATATACTTATACAGAAGAGTAATCACCAAAGGGTGAGATAAATGGGTTCAAATTTAATATTTTCATTTATTCCTCTCAATGGGAAAAATGACTTTGTGTACTTTTGTTTCCTGTATTATTTTAATTTAATTAATTTGTTTGTTTAGAAAGGGTCTCACTCTGTCACCCAGGCTGAAGTGTAGTAGCATAATTATAGCTCACTGCAGCCTCAAACTCCTGGGCTAAAGGGGATCCTCCCACCTCAGCCTCCCGAGTAGCTGGGACTACAGGTGTGAGGCTACCATGCCTAGCTAATTTGTCTTGTTTTTGGTGGAGATAAGGTATTGTTATACTGTCCAGGCTGGTCTCAAACTCCTGGCTTTAAGCAATCCTTCCGCCTTGGCCTCCCAAAGTGCTAGGATTACAGACGTAAAGTCACTGTACCCAGCTGACAGTAGAACTATGAATAATTTATTTTCTTTTCACTCCTTTTGTATTTCTATAATTTTATACCCCAAACATATTATGTAATTTAAAATGATAAATTACATTTTTACAAAGATTATATAATCATGCAGCTCGAATAACAAGAAACTAAGAATTTTCATCAGATGAACTATAAAGAAACATGTAACCAAACCCACTCATGAAAAATTATGTATTATAAGATTTCTTAGTATTAAGACATAACCAAGTAATTTCAACCTTTGTGACACTAAAGCATGAAAGAGTCATGTCTATCTATTCACAACTATGTTTATCAAGACCAATAATGGTATAGTTGATGTAAATTTTTTCTATTACCTATACTGTAAGAAAATAGTTTGTTTTAATTTGCTATCCTTAACTCTTCCAACATAGAAAAGCATATTATAATAAGTATGTGTCCCAAGACTGAATCTGATTTGCATTGAGAATCATACCTCACCGTCTGTAAACCCAGCACTTTGGGAGGCTGAGGTGGGTGGATCACCTGAGGTGAGGAGTTGGAGACCAGCCTGGCCAACATGGTGAAAACCCATCTCTACTAAAAATAAAAAAATAGCTGGGCTTGGTGGCAGACACCTGTAATCCCAGCTACTCAGGAGGCTGAGGCAGGAGAATCCCTTGAACCCGGGAGGTGGAGGTTACAGTGAGCCAAGATTGTGCCACTGCACTCCAGCCTGGACAACAAAGCGAGACTCTATCTCCCTGCCCCCAAAAAAAGAAAGAAAGGGAAAAAAAAAGAAAATCATACCTCTAGAACTGTGTTATCTAACAGGGTAGCTAACTGGCCACATGTGACTATTTAAATGCAAATGTACTTAAACAAAATTTTAGAAAATTCACTCCCTTAGCTGAAAAGCCATACATACAGAACACTTCCTTCATCGCAAAAAGTTTTCCTAGCCTGTGCTACTTTAGACCTCTCACCTATCACCATAATCAGGCTTAAAATATAGTTCCTGACTTAGCACTTCAAAACATTCAAAACATTTGTAAGTAAAATGCTTAACGTTATTATGAAAGATTATAAAAGTGAAGATACCAAATGAATGCCTAAAATTCTAAGAAATTATTTCAAATATTTCACCCATGTAAAATTATTTAAAGGTAGTCACATCTAAAGTTGCTTTATTTTAAGTATAAAAACTTCTATTGTGAAGGAACTCTGTTTTATGAAGTAGAATAAAAAGCTAGAAATAAGAAGCCATTTCACGGAAACTACAAAATTTAGGTAGATTTTGTTCTAAGCAGAACAATGAGCCAACAAATGCCTTCTAATCAAATAAATCTTAAAATATACCAATGAAATCTAACAGGTCCATTAATGCAATTTCACTATCACTGAGGGGCACATGTATGCATGAGCCAGCATTAAGAAAGTAAAAGGATCCCATGGGCAAAGAGTACATTAACCAGCTTCTCTACATGTGTATCCAGGATTCTTAAGAAATTAATTAGGATCTACAGGTAGGAAAAAGAATCATACGTAAAAGAATAGAGATTAGAGTTTAGGACACTTAAAGGTACTTTCAAATGGAAGAAATAGTTTTGCAAACTTCAAATTAAGATAAAGAAATCACAAGTATGACATTATGGTCATCTCCAAATCTCTGTTTGTTGATGCTGTTAAACTATAAAACAAAGAGCAGGATGTGGAGCTTGAAGGGAGTAGTTAACATAGGAATTCCAACAAAAGTGAAAATACTTAAAGATTATGTTTTAGGAAAAAAAAACTGGACTGCAAGGTAGTCTGGTTGTAATAGAAATCATAACTTTAATCTACTGTGTAATAACAAGCAAGATTTTACCTTCATTTTACCTCATTTTCCCTATACTTGTTTTCGAAAACTGACAAACGTGAGTAGATAATGATTAATCAAAATTACCAATAGATTTTACTTTTAATGTATTATTTTCCATCCTCAGTCACTCCTTTCAGAATGGCTTAGATGAGCGCTGTGGCTCATGCTTGAAATCCCCCCACTGTGGGAGGCTGAGGCAGGAGGATAGCTTGAGCCCAGGAGTTTGAGACCAGCCTGGACAACATGGCGAAACCCTGTCTCTGCTAAAAATACAAAAATTAGCCTGGTGTGGTGGTGTGCGCCTGCAGTCCCAGCTATGTGGGAGGCTGAGGTGGGAGGACTGCTTGATCCCAGGAAGCAGAGGTTAGAGTGAGCTGATACTGCACCACTGTACTCCAGCCTGGGTGACAGAGCAAGACCATGTCTCAAAAATAAATAAGTAAATAAATAAACAAATAAATAAGTAAAATTTAATGCAATGCTCTAAAAGAAGATAAAAAGGAAAAGGAAAAGACTATTGGGCTGGTAGACCTCCACTGGGAAATCCAGAGCAAGAAGACGGCCAGCATCTTCAATTGCAGTGACAGTTTATTGGCTCACGTAAGTTACGACGGTCCACTGTTTTTAGCACGTTCCATTTATGAGCAACTGAACAAAATGTGTGCTTAAAATCAAACTGCTACAGGAAATTGAATCCAATCTCTCTCCCTCACTGCAAGACCCTGCTACAGTGATCCATGTACCTATCATCATGGCCCCTGTTGAATGAAGTCGGACTTACCATCTTATAAATCATATATATATATCAAACTGTTACAAAATGGTATGTAGGTATGACAGTCTGACATCTAATTTCATTCCTAATTCAAAGTAAAAAAAAAAAAAAAAAAAAAACAGTAGTAACTACCCCAGCTAGTTATGAATGCTTTACAGATCTTCTACAGCTGGTAAATCCGGTAATCATAAACATATTCTAGGTGTTTAACAAATACTCATTAATGTTAGATATAGATTCCTCAAACATAATTAAAACCACAGTGGAAAATTATTTTAGATATAATGGAACAGAGCAAATATAATATAGCTAACCCTAATATAAATAAAAATTACCAAATAACCAAAGTGAAAACCTTACTAAATATATTGCTCCCCTTATAAAGTTACATTTAAGATAAAAATCTACAATTTTTATAGATCAGTATAGAAATTGATGTAAAACATTGATCAAACCTTAATCCATAGTAATGAAGAACAATGCTTACCTAGTTCAATACATGTTATTCCAAGAGACCACACATCTACTTTGCCATCATACTGTCCTTCATCCATGGCTAAAATTACTTCTGGGGCCATCCTAGAACAAAATGTTCATTTAAATTAAAGATTTTTTTAAAAAGTATACTATTCTTTGAGAATGTAAGTCATCTACCTGGAGATCACTGGTTTGAATTCTAGCCAATATATCTGGACATAAGAATTTTTATAATGGGAACTAAGTGCATTACAGGTTGTAAGGTAAATATTTAGCAATGCATATACAGTGTGAGATTTATTCTCACTATCCCATCATTATCATGTAACAGCTACCCCAAAAAAAAGAAGCTCCCAAGGCACAATTATATTCTGCATCTGCTCCAGTTTGCAGATTATAATACTTCATATCCTTTAGGCCAGTGGTTCTCAAATATTTTGGTCTCAGGATCCCATTACAAAAGTCTAATTTTTGGCCAGGCGCAGTGGTTCACACCTGTAATCCCAGGACTTTGGGAGGCTGAGGCAGGCGGATCACGAGGTCAGGAGTTTGAGAAGCCTGAGCAACATGGTGAAACCCCATCTCTACCAAAAATACAAAAATTAGCCGGCCATGGTGGCTGGCACCTGTAATCCCAGCTACTCAGGAGGCTGAGGCAGGAGAATCGCTTGAACCCAAGAGGCGGAGGTTGCAGTAAGCCAAGATCACGCCACTGCACTCCAGTCTGCCTGGGCGAGAGAGTGAGACTCCGTCTCAAAAAAAAAAAAAAAAAAAAAAGTCTATTTTTGCTTAAAAGATCAAATTTTACTATTGGCAACAAGTATTGTCAGTTGTTTTCCTTGAAGTTATAAGCTCATGTCGTTTATTAAAGAAAATTATCTGCCACAATAACCAAGACTGAATAATCATAGTTTGTGTCTTTCTTTCAAATAAAAACGGTGTTCCATGATAAAAGTGGCTAGGGCAGCTTACAACTCAATCACACAATTATCAATCTTATGGGTATCTTATTTGTAAATGAAGCACTAATTCATGTCTTCAATTAGTGTCCTATATTCTTTTTTTAAAATTTTAATCTTTTTTTTTTTTTTTTTTTTTTTTTTTTGGGAGACAGGGTCTCACTCTGTCGCCCAGGCTGGAGTACAATGGCACAATCTCGGCTCACTGCAACCTCTGCCTCCTGGGTTCAAGTGATTCTCCCACTTCAGCCTGTCAAGTAGCTGGGACTACAGGCGTGCATCACCACGCCCAGCTAATTTTTGTATTTTTTGGTAGAGACAGGGTTTCACCATGTTGGCCAGGCTGGTCTCAAACTCCTGACCTTAAGCAATCTGTCTGCCTCGGCCTCCCAAAGTGCTGGGATTACAGGTGTGAGCCATTGCATCTGGCCGAGTTTAACATTCCTGACAGTACTTTACTTTCCACTTCATTTGTATTTCATGTTAAACACAGATAGACACTTAAAACGGCTGCTGACTGCTTTAACTATTCTTACCAATATGGCGTTCCCACAAAGGAATTGGCAGGTGATGCCATGGAAGCAGATCCAAAGTCAGCAAGTTTCACTTGGCCTGGTTCTGTCAGAAGGATATTTCCTGCTTTGATATCTCTAGGTTTAGGAAATACAGAAAACTACTTAACTTTCCCTCATTAGATTATGTTTAAAACAAAAAAAATAAAACAAGAATTCATAAGATAGAGAAGGAGAAATAATAATTAAGTGCTGGGGTAATCACACAATTGGGATAATGAGAATTAATATTCAAATTAGAAAACAAAAAACTACAGAATTCAAATAAACATATAGTAATACTTTTCTAAAAGAGAAGACAAATAGCAAAAAAAAAAAAGAAAATTAGTTTACTGGAGCACACAGTTTATATTTTAGTTTCTGTTTATTGGTAGAAACAATGGTTTTTAAAAATACATTGTAATTAGCAAACAATCTCTTTATCATACATAAGATTTCTGAGTATCCATACTTAACGTAAAAACAAAAAAGAAAACATAAAGAACTTTATTCTCCAAACTTTTTGAAAAAGACTTATTCAAAATAAGTAAATACATAAAGATGTATTTGTATCATTTACAAACTTTAGCATAGTTTTCCTAAATATAAAATAAAAACTGAAATATATGGATAGTGTAGTATCAATGATCCCAAATTTACTTTTCTGAAATAGCAACGGTCTATTAAACTAAGAAAACAGGTATTTATATAATAAGACTGTCTGTCTAACTAGCATTAAATATATACTTAATCATTCAAAAATTAAAATAGAAATTAAAGTGCTGAATTTCCAAGCCCTTAATTCTTACTATATATTTTAGAGCATAACACGAAATGAATCTATTTTTCTTACATTTGATTTTTTTAAAATGGAGAGGTATCTTAAATTTGAGAAAAACTTAGGTTGAAATTCCAACTATGGCACTCACTTATGCTTGTGGGTATCTCTCAGATCTTATCCTGATGTTAAAAAATGATAACCCATTAACTCACAATGACTCTATTATATAGTTTAATATGTACTGCCTGGTTCATATATGTATAAGAAAATACTAACTTTCTTCTACAACAGCTAGAACCAATACCAGTGCCAAAAATTTATTATAAAATGTTTTAACTTCAAAGTTATTATCCATAATCAAGGATTATCAAGGACCACAGCTCAAAAGCACAAAGAGTCTTAAGCAGCTTCTGTTTTTTTTTTTTTGTGAGACAGAGTTTCACTGTCACCCAAGCTGGGGTGCAGTGGCACAGTCTCAGCTCACTGCAACTTCCACCTTCCGGGCTCAAGCGATTCTCCTCCCTCAGCCTCACAAGTAGCTGGGATTACAGATGCCCACAACAAAGCCCAGCTAATTTTCATATTTTCAGTGGAGACAAAGTTTCACCATATTGGCCAGGCTGGTCTCGGAACTCTTGACCTCAAGTGATCCACCCGCCTAGGCCTCTCAAAGTGCTGGGATTACAGGTGTGAGCCACCTTGCCTGGCCTTAAGCAACTTTTATTCGTCCATGTCATGGAATCAATGGAATAAATCTGTCATTATCAGTTACCAAGAAGACAAAAGATCTAGATTTAGTTCTAGCTCTAATCTACTCAGCTTTGCAACCCTTAGGAAATTACAGTCACAAATTGAGACATCAGTGATTTTACCTGTAAAATGAGAAAAATTTTATGATTCTCTAATGCCCAATCCAGTTGCAAATTAAATGATTCTACATCTAAGTTTCTACCACTAATCTAAAAAGTATACATACTTTTACAATGTCAAACAGCACATACAGGCAAAGATAAAAATTATCCTAGAGAGCCAGGCGCGGTGGCTCTCGCCTGTAATCCCAGCACTTTGGGAGGCCAAGGCGGGTGGATCACGAGGTCAGGAGATCGAGACCATCCTGGCTAACACGGTGAAACCCCATTTCTACTAAAAATACAAAAGTTAGCCAGGCGTGGGGGCAGGAGCCTGTAGTCCCAGCTACTGGGGAGGCTGAGGCAGGAGAATAGTGTGAACCCAGGAGGCGGAGGTTGCAGTGAGCCGAGATCATGCCATTGCACTCCAGACTGGGCGACAGACCGAGACTCCGTCTCAAAAAAAAAAAAAAAAAAAAAAAAAAAAAAAAAAAAAAATCCTAGAGAGATCAAGTATACCACTATGTTCATTTTAGGATATGAAAAGTCTAAAAAAATATGAGTTTATATTATTTTATTTGGCTTTAACCAATAAAAACTTTAGGGTTAATAAATTCTAAAGTTGGTAATATGCAACAAGCCATTTACTTATCAATATATGATAATTTCCAAAGCACTTACCTATGAATCATAGTATGAGAATGTAAGTAGGCTAATCCCTGGAGAGCACCATGTGTAATTGCTGCTATTTCCACTTCTTGTAATGGCTTTTTGTGAACTTAAAATTTATTTGAAAATAATTAATACAGAGAACATTTTTGTTAAAAAAATACATATCTAATACATGGGGCAATTTTAAAAAACTGATACTTAGCAAGAAGAGATTTATTTTCCAAGATGATAAAGATTATTAAACTTTGTAACTTGTATGCAATTGTGCCAGTTGTTAAAGCACAGTTCATAGCCAATTCTTCTCTTAGCTAATGATATTAAATAATTATTTGGTGATGTAAAAACAATAGCAGCAGAGTTCTCTCTCTTTATTCTCACTTATCTTTATTTTGAACAGGAGGAGCAGGATAACAGAGAATTCAGAAAAACACTTGTAAAGTCACAATGAGAGAAAACATGACTATTTTAAGCTACTGTATAACATGTAATATTTAATAAGGACAGCATATACCATGCTGAGAATTTGAAGACTAAGAGTTCTGCTCTTTCTGGAAAGTTTTACATTATTTGGTATTAATATCATTTAAATAATGCTAACTAAATTATCATTTTATTCTGTGAATACTTTTTAAAAAATAATCAAAGGAAACTTACCTTCTAGTAAATCTGAAGCAGATCCTAAACAATATTCCATTACAAGCTACATGGAAAAATTATAAAACCATTAAAATATATTATTATAAAGATTCTATTTAAGATAAAATAAGTTCACCCAGTAGATCAAGAAGATAGTTTGAAGTAAAATTCTAGTCATCATTTACCTTAAAAAAATAGTTATATAGATATTTCTCAGAAAAATATATTTTTAAAATTTTTTAATAAAAAATACTCACGTATTCAGTGATTTGTTAAATGCAGTCAAGCCAATGATATATTAATCTTTTAATAATGCCAACATATAATAACTTCTATAAGCTGTGCATTTCATATATAATTACTAATTAAAATTATGAAGAAATACACATATTCCATTACTACAAATCTATAGTAACAATACTGATCATTGTTAGAAGACAGAAAACTGTGTTCTCTAGAATTATACGTATAGTCAGCCCTTCACATCTGTGGGTTCTAGATTTGTAGATTCAACCAACTATGTATCAAAAATAATTGAAAAAATAAAAAAATTGGCCAAGTGTGGTGGCTCACGCCTATAATCCCAGCACTTTGGGAGGCCGAGGTGGGCGGATCACCAGGTCAGGAGATCAAGACCACCTTGGCTCACATGGTGAAACCCCGTTTCTACTAAAAATATAAAAAATTAGTTGGGCATGGTGGCGGGTGCCTGCAGTCCCAGCTACTCAGGAGGCTGAGGCAGGAGAGTGGCGTGAGCCTGGGAGGCGGAGCTTGCAGTGAGCCGAGACTGCACCACTGCACTTCAGCCTGGGCGACACAGAGACTCTGTCTCAAAAATAAATAAATAAAATTTAAAAAAATTACAATATAACAACAAAAATAAAACAAAAAGCCAATACAACATAACAACTATTTACATGGCATTCACATTGTGGTATTATAACTAATCTACAGATGATTGAAAAAATTAATAGGTGGATGTGCACAGGTTATGTGCAGATACTCCATTTTACAGAAGGGATTTGGTATCCTGGGGGTGGGTGTCCTGGAACCAAATTCCCCACAGATACTGAGGAAAAACTATATACAAAGCTTAGGTCACAGCTGTTTCTTTGAAAGCAAACACAGAGCACTTCCTATGTGCCAGGTATTTTTTATATAGTAACCAATTTAATCCTCAGAATGACCTTATGAGGTAGGTCCTATTAGTATCCTTATTTTATGGATGGAGAACCCTGAGAGGCAGAGAGGTTAACCGTCTAATATTACTGCTTTTTCTTTAATCATAGCCTCAATTTTACAAGTCATCACTACTACCACCAAAACAAACTGGATAAAAATGCACCAAACACTACAAATCTAAATCTACAGTAAGTATACTAAAATGATACTTAGCTGTGGCTTACTAATTATTCAAAATAAGGGGCCATTCCTGGTAACAAAAGGACAAAATTAATTTCTACTTCTTATAATAAAGGGCAACAATTCTCTATCTTTAGTATTATATTATTCGGCCAAGGAGTCATGATCAGTTCTAACTTCACCAGGATTCACCCAAATTTCACCAAGATCTTTCTGGTTAAATGCATTAAAGTATATTTATGTCAAGAAAATATATGCTAACTTTCAATCTCAAGTAACATGATTGTTTTCACAATGTTTGAATGGTACTACTAAAACTGTCAGAGGACATTTTATTATACACAAAAAGGTCAACAGAATTCTGAAAAATCTCTGCAGCAAGACTTGCAAAAATTCTATCATCTCTTATTGCCTACAAGTTCTAGGAAATATTGTTTGTTTTCTTTCAGTATGAACTAACATTTCAGGTGATTTTGCATGTGTTTACACAACCCATATGAGACATTCTGAATTAATTCATTATAAACCAAAATCAGCTAAAATTGCAACAAGGGGAAAGCAAATACCAACCCATGCTGTGTGTTCACGTAGATAACAGCCTTTGTATTCTATACTGTTGGGATGTTTTATTCTTTGTAGAAACTTGACTTCCTTAATAATATCCTGCCATTTCTGTGGGGAGAAAAAAGGTAAAGAATTATGAACAGGGCTTTTCCTCAGAAAGTTGTATGAGAATAAAAGTAATTACTAAATTGAGAAGGGTTAACAAGAACATGCAAGTTTGCTTGGTTTTACTTACTTACTGGGAGGGTCTCGCTCTTTCACCCAGGCTGGAGTGCAGTGGCACGATCTCAGCTCACTGCAACCTCCATCTCATGGGCTCAAATGATCCTCCCCCCTCAACATCCCAAGTATTTGGGTCTACAGGCACACACCACCATGCTCATCTAATTTTTCTATTTTTTGTAGAGATGGGGTTTCACTATATTGCTCAGACTGGTCTCAAACTCCTGACCTCAAGTGATTCACTTGTCTTGGCCTCTCAAAATGTGATAATTTTTAGATAAAATGTCAAAATTAAAAAGTTTAAATAAATTATATTCAGCCAGGCACGCTGGCTCACACCTGTAATCGCAGCACCTTGGGAGGCTGAGGCTGGCGGATCACGAGGTCAGGAGATCGAGACTATCCTGGCCAATATGGTGAAACCCTGTCTCTACTAAAAGTACAAAAATTAGCTGGGCATGGTGGCACGCGCCTATAGTCCCAGCTACTCGGCAGGCTGGGCAGGAGAATTGCTTGAACCCAGGAGGTGGCGGCTGCACTGAGCTGAGATCGAGCCACTGCACTCCAGTCTGGTGACAGAGCGAGACTCCACCTCAAAAATAAAATATAAATAATATTCATATACAGGCCTATCTCAATTTACGGCGCTTCGCTTTATTATACTTCACAGATATTACTTTTTTTTTTAAACAAATTGAAGGGTTGTAGCAATCCTGTGTCAAAGCAAGTCCACCAGCACCATTTTTCCAATAGCATGTGCTCACTTGATGCCTTTATGTCACCTTTTGGTAACTCACAATATTTCAAACTTTTTCATCATTATTATTATATCTGTTATGGTGATCTGTGATCAGTAATTGTTGATGTTACTATTGTAATCATTTTGGGGAGCCATGAACTGTGCCCATATAAGATGGTGAATTTAATCAATAAATGTATTCTGACAGCTCCACCAGCCAGTCTTTACCCTGTCTGTCTCCCTTTCCTTGGGCCTCCTTATTCTCTGAGACACAATAAAGTTGAAATTAGGCCATTAATAACCCCACAGTGACCCCTAAGTGTTCAAGTGAACGGAATACTCACACATCTGTCACTTTAATTCAAAAGTTACAAGTGATTAAGCTTAGTGAGAAAAGCATGTCAAAAGCTGAGACAGCCTTTGAAGCTAGGCCTTTTGCGCCAAATAGTTAGCCAAGTTGTAAATGCAAAGAAAAAGTTATCGAAGACAATTTAAAGTGCTACTCCAGTAAATATATGAATGATAAGAAGGCAAAACAAATTTATTGTTGATATGAAGAAAGCTTCAATGGCCCGGATAGAAAATCAAATCAGCCACAACATTCCTGTAAAACAAAGTCTAATCTAGAGGATGGCCCTAACTCTCTTTAACTCTACAAAGGCTGAGAGAGGTGAGGAAGCTGAAGAAGAAAAGTTGGAAACTAACAGAGGTTGCTTCATCAGGTGTAAGGAAAGAAATCAACTCCGTAAAATAAAAGTGCAAGGTAGGCTGGCATGGTGGCTCACTCCTATAATCAATCTCAGCACTTTGGGAGGCCAAGGCGGACAGATCACTTGAGGTCAGGAGTTCAAGACCAGCCTGGCCAACATGGTGAAACTCCATCTCCACTAAACATACAAAAATTAGCTGAGTGTGTTGGTGCGTGCCTGTAGTCCTAGTTACTAGGGAGGAAAGGCAAAGGAAGCAGAATTGTTTGAACCCAGAAGGTGGAGGCTGCAGTAAGCCAAGATAGTGCCACCGCACTCTAGCGTGGGTGACAGAGAGAGACTGTCTCAAAAAAAAAAAAAAAAAAAGAAAAGAAAAGTGCAAGGTGAAGCAGTAAGTACTGATGTAGAAGCTACATGCAAGTTATCCAGAAGATCTAGCCAATGTGTCATTGAGGAAGGTAGCTACATTACACAACAGATTTTCTTTCTTTTTTTTTGAGAGTCTTACTGTCACCCACACTGGAGTGCAGTGGCATGATCTTGGCTCACTGCAACTTGTGCCTCCTGGGTTCAAGCATTCCTTCTGCCTCAGCCTCCCTAGTAGCTGGGACTACAGGCATGTGGACTACCATACCTGGCTAATTTTTCTATTTTCAGTAGAAACGGGGTTTCACCATGTTGGCCAAGCTGGTCTCGAACTCCTGGCCTCAAGTGATCCACCTACTTCGGCCTCCCAAAGTGCTGGGATTACAGGTGTGAGCCACCAAGCCCGGGCAAGAGATCTTCAGTGTAGACAAAATAGCCTTATATTGGAAGAAGATACTATCTAGGGCTTTCATGGCTACAGAGCAACTATGAAATGCCTGGTTTCAAAATTTCAAAGGACAGGCTGACTCTCTTGTTAGGGGCTAACGCAGCTTGTGATTTTGAAGCTGAAGTCAATGCACATTATTACTATTCCAAAAATTCTACTCTGCTTGTGCTTGTTCAATGAAACAACAAAGCCTTTAGATGACAGTACTTTTGTTTAAGCATGGTTTAGTGAATATTTTAAGGCCACTGTTGAGATTTACTGCTCAGAAAGATTCCTTTCAAAATATTACTGGTCTTTGCCAGTGCACCTAGCTACCCAATAACTCTGATAGAGACATAAAAGAAGATTTATGTTGTTTTCATTCCCGTGAATACACCACCCATTCTGTAGCCCACGGATCAAGGAATAATTTCGAGTTCCAAGCCTTATTATTTAAGAAAGGCTGGCTGGGCACGGTGGCTCACTCCTGTAATCCCAGCACTTTGGGAGGCCGAGGCAGGCAGATCACCTGAGGTCAGGAGTTCAGGACAAGCCTGACCGACATGGAGAAACCCAGTCTCTACTAAAAAAATACAAAATGAGCCGGGCGCGGTGGTACATGACTGTAATCCCAGCTACTTGGGAGGCTGAGGCAGGAGAATCGCTTGAATCCAGGGGGCGGAGGTTGTGGTGAGCCGAGACCATGCCATTGGGCAACGAGAGCGAAACTCCATCTCAAAAAAAAAAAAAAAAAAAAAAAAACAGAAAAGAAAAGAAAGGCTGTAGCAGCCGGGCATGGTGGTTCACACCTGTAATCCCAACACTTTGGGAGGCCAAGGGAAGTGGATCACCTGAGGTCAGGAGTTCGAGACCAGCCTAGCCAACACAGCAAAACCCTCTCTACTAATAATACAAAAATCAGTCAGGCATGGGGACGCAGGCCTATAATCTCAGTTACTTGAGAGGCTGAGGCAGGAAAATCGCTTGAACCCGGAGGCGGAGATTGCAGTGAGCTGAGATCATGCCATTGCACTCCATCCTGGGCGACAAGAGTGAACTCCATTTCAAAACAAAAAAACAAACAAACAAACAAAAAGGCTATAGCTGCCGTAGACAGCAATTTGTCTGATGGACAGTGGCAAAGTAAACCGAGTACCTTCTGGAAATAATTCATTATAGATGCCATTAAGAACATTTCCGACTGATGGGAGTGCAAATTAGCAACATTATCAGGAGTCTGGAATAAGTGCATTCCAACCCTCATGAATGACTTTGAGGGGTTCAAGATTTCAGTGGAGGAAGTAATTGCAGATGTGGTGGAAACAGCAGGAAAACTGGAATTGCACATGCAGCCTGAAGATGTGACTAAACTCCTGCAATTTCATGATAAAACTTGAGTGGATGAGAAACTGCTTGTAATAGATGGGCAAAGAAAGTAATTTCTGAATATTACATAAACTTAGTTGATAAAGCAGTAATAGAGTTACGGAGGATTGACTCCAATTTTGAAAGTTTTATTGTGGTAAAATGCTGTCAAACATCACTGCATTCTACAGAGAAATCTTTTGTGAAAGAGAAAACTGATGGGGCAAACTTCACTGTTATCAGATTTTAAGAAATTGCCACAACCACCTTAACCTTCAGCAACCACTACCCTGATCAGTCAGAAGCCATCAACATAGAAGATCCTCGAGCAGCAAAAATACTATGACATGCTGAAGGCTCAAATGATCATTAGCATCTTTTTAGAAATAAAATATTTTAGGCCGGGTGTGGTGGCAGGCACCTGTAGTCCCAGCTACTCAGGAAGCTGAGGCAGGAGAATCACTTGAACCCGGGAGGCGGAGGTTGCAGTGAGCTGAGACTGCACCACTGCACTCCAGCCTGGTGACAGAGTGAGACTCCATCTCAAAAAAAAAGAAAGAAAATATTTTAAAATTAAGGTATGTACATTGTCTTTTTTAGACAAAATGTTACTGCACACTTAATGGACTACAGTATAGCATGGAGAGAGATATATATATATATATATATTTAGATGGAGTCTCATGTTGCTGTCCAGACTGGAGTGCAGTGGCACAATCTTGACTGACTACAGCCTTCGCCTCCCGGCTTCAAGTGATTCTCGTGCCTCTGCCTCCTGGGTTCAAGTGATTCTCCTGCCTCAGCCTCCCAAGTACCTTGGAATTACAGGTACATGCAACCACACCTGACAGGATTTTCCACCATGTTGGTCAGGCTGGTCTTAAACTCCTGACCTCAAGTGATCCGCCTGCCTTGGCCTTCCAAAGTGCTGGGATTACAGGCATGAGCTACTGCACCAGGCCTAGACACAATTTTCATATGCACTAGGCACCAAAAAGTTCATGTGACTTGCTTTATGATATTTGCTTTATCGTAGTGGTTGAGAACAAAACCCACAATATCTCCAAGGCATGCTTAGAGTTTACAACTCAATTACATAATTTACAAAATTATTTCACTAAAGGTAGGTAAGACAAATTTGAGTTTGATAAAATTTATCATTAATGACTCTTATTAAAATTTTACAACCATACACCAATCATGTTGATAACTATATACCATATTCAGTGATTTTTCTTCAAAAGTTCAACCTTTCTTTTTTCCATACAGTTTTATTGATACATAATTTATATACCATGAAGTTCACCTGCTGTGTTTTTGGCTTATTTTTATTACCAAACGTTAGGGTTTGTTTTTGTTTTTAACTCAAATGAACTAATTCCTCTGAGATTCAAGTTCCTAAATGCAGACTCTAAAATGCTAGTGAATAATTAGCTATTATATAGAAAAGTTCACAGAAAAAAACCAAGCAGTACAAAAATCTTTTCCTACATAGTTTACTAATACCTATCAGGAAATACAGATAAACCTTCGGTCTTAAGTTACTTCATGACAACCTTAAATACTCAGGCCATATCCTAAACACAGTTACTCTTAAGAAGCAACCCGAGAACTCTAAAAATACAGATCCTTTGGTCCATACCCAGAAATTCTACAGATTTAGTAGGTGTGAGAGGAGGACTAGAAATCTGTTTTTGCTCTTTTTAATTTTTTTAAGTTTTATCATTGATTTGGGCTATATTCTTAACGGCAAGGAAAGCAGTATAAATAGAATACTTTAAGAGATGTTGTATACTAGATTTAAGATCATGTACTTCGTATGTTATTTCACAAGGCCTTAACAGAACACAGCAAAATATGTTCACAGTGGGCCAGGTGCGGTGGCTCACGCCTGTAATCCCAGCACTTTGAGAGGCCGAGGCGGGTGGATCACGAGGTCAGGAGATCAAGACCATCCTGGCTAACACAGTGAAACCCCGTCTCTACTAAAAATACAAAAAATTAGCCGGGCATGGTGGCGGGTGCCTGTAGTCCCAGCTACTCGGGATGCTGAGGCAGGAGAATGGCATGAACCCGGGAGGCGGAGCTTGCAGTGAGCCAAGATTACGCCACTGCACTCCAGCCTGGGCGACAGAGCAAGACTCCATCTCAAAAAAAAAAAAAAAAATAGGTTCACAGTGTTTTGTGTAAAATGTGTAAGATACATTATAAAATGCTAAATCCAGAAAATCTGTTCCATGGTCTTTAAGTTTCAAATTTGAATACTCTGGAAGGCAAACTCAAAAAAATGTATTCCTCAACATAAAAAAATTTTTATGAAGGATGCCAACATTAGATATTAAAAGATGATGTGGTAAATGAAAATTTTTGTTCTAGGTATGACTAATCAGACTCTGAAACAGACAGATACAGATACATGTGTATATATACACACACACACACACACATATATACATACATACACACAATGGAATATTTTTCAGACTTACAAAGGAAGGAAATTCTGACATACACTACAACACGGATGAACTTTTGGGATATTAGGTTACGTGATACAAGCTAGTCACAAACAGACAAATCCCAAATGATTCCACTTACATTAAGTACCTAGTCAAATTTATGGAGACAGAAAGTAGACTGGTGGTTGCAAGAGGCTGGGGAATTACCGTTTAATGACTACAGAGTTTTAATGCTGCAAGATAAAAAGAATTCTAGAGATGCATGGCGATAATGGTTGGTTGCACAACAATGTGAATGTACTTAATTCCACTGAAATGTGGAATTGAAAATAGTTAAAATGGGCCGGGCGCGGTGGCTCAAGCCTGTAATCCCAGCACTTTGGGAGGCCGAAATGGGCGGATCACGAGGTCAGGAGATCGAGACCATCCTGGCTAACTCGGTGAAACCCCGTCTCTACTAAAAAATACAAAAAATTAGCCAGGCGAGGTGGCGGGTGCCTGTAGTCCCAGCTACTCGGGAGGCTGAGGCAGGAGAATGGCGTAAACCCGGGAGGCGGAGCTTGCAGTGAGCTGAGATCCAGCCACTGCACTCCAGCCTGGGCGACAGAGCAAGACTCCGTCTCAAAAAAAAAAAAAAAAAAAGAAAATAGTTAAAATGGTAAATTTTATGTTGTGTATTTTACCACAATTAAAAATAATTTTTAAAAATTTTTAAGATTAAAGAGAATTCTAGAGTTTTTCTTTTTTCATTTATAAATATTTCATTTTTTGATTGAGATGGGGGGTCTCACTGTTCCCCAGGGTGGTCTCAAATCCTGGGCTCAAAATGATCCACACACCTCGGCCTCCCAAAGTGCTGGGATTACAGGTGTGAGCCACAGCGCCAGGCAAAATTGTAGATTTTTAAAAGCAAACTACATTTCATAAATTTATGAAATTAGGTAGAATATAATCTGAAGAGAACTAATTAGAGTATTAGTGAACTAAAGTACATTCAATGTAGCATTGTTTCATTTTTGAATTTTTCAAATTGTTATACATTGCTTGTTTCTCAGACTAGATATAGATTCATGTTGATTAAAGTTTGTTTAAAACAGGCATTAAACAACGTTTAAACAATTTTAAAGATCATAGGCCAGGTGTGGTGGCTCCCAACATTTTGGGAGGCCAAGGCAGGTGGATCGCTTGAGGTCAGAAGTTCAAGACCAGCCTGGCCAAAGTGATGAAACCCTACTTCTACTAAAGATACAAAAAATTTGCCAGGCATGGTGGCAGGTTCCTGTAATCCAGGCTGAGGCAGGAGAATTACTTGAACCTGGGAGGTGGAGGTTACAGTGAGCCAAGAAGGCACCACTGCACTCCAGCCTGGGGGACACAGAGATGCTACGTCTCAAAAAATATATTTTAAAAAAAAGGTCATATCCAATATAATTTATTGTCAAGTACATCTTATTCTACTTTAATTTTTAGAAACTGATAATCCTTCCAAGATAAACAGAGAATAATATTTAAAACAACAGTTTAAAAAATTAAGGCTGGGAGCAGGCAGATTGCCTGAGGTCAGGAGTTTGAGACCAGTCTGGCCAACATGGTGAAACCCTGTCTCTACTAAAATACAAAAAATTAGCCAGGCGTGGCAGTATGTGCCTGTAGTCCCAGCTACTCGGGAGGCTGAGGCAGAATTGCTAGAACCCGGGTGGCAGAGGGTGCAGTGAGCTGAGATGGCACCACTGCACTCCAGCCTGGGCAACGCAGCGAGACTCCATCTCTTTAAAAAAAAAACAAAAAAAACTGAAAGCAGGCTGAGCACAGTGGTTCACACCTGTAATCCCAGCATTTTTTGAGGCCAAGGCAGGCGGATCACCTGAAGTCAGGAGTTTGAGACCAGCCTGGCCAACATGGAGATACACTGTGTCTACTAAAAATACAAAAATTAGCCAGGTGTGGTGGCACACACCTGTAATCCCAGGGAATTGATTGAACCTGAGAGGCGGCGAAGGTTACAGTGAGCCAAGAGTATGCCACTGCATTCCAGCTTAGGTGACAGAGCGAAACTCTATCTCAAAAAAAAAAAAAAAAAAAAATTAAAAGCAGAAGGCACAAGTAGGGGGACTTTGGAGATACCAATAATCCTCTGTTTATGGCTCTCAGCACTATTAGGGTTAAATGGGTACATCAGTTTGGGGAAAAAAAATTCATTGAGATATACACTTAAGATTTGCATACTTCACCTATTAACACTTAAAAAATTCCCACCCTTCCTTCCCAATTAAAAATTATGTCTTCCTCTAACATATCAATAAGAATGTATATATTGGCCGGGCGCGGTGGCTCACGCCTATAATCCCAACACTTTGGGAGGCGGAGGCGGGTGGATCATGAGGTCAGGAGATCAAGACCATCCTGGCTAACTCGGTGAAACCCTGACTACACTAAAAATACAAAAAATTAGCCAGGCGTGGTGGCGGGCGCCTGTAGTCCCAGCTACTCGGGAGGCTGAGGCAGGAGAATGGCGTGAACCCGTAAGGTGGAGCTTGCAGTGAGCCAAGATTGCACCACTGCACTCCAGCCTGGGCTACAGAGCGAGACTCCATCTCAAAAAGAAATTTAAAAAAAGAATGTATGTATTTATTCTGAGATAAATATAAGAAAAAACAAGAATGTACACATTTAACCTACCTCAGTAGACTGCTTTCCACTATAAGACATTTTCTTGATGGCCACCACTTCATTGGTACGCACATCTCGTGCCTAAAGAAGAACAAAGAAAGAAACATTGTAAAAATTAACAGGTGAAATCTAGGCAACTATTTCTTTGTGAATATAAAAGCATTTGTAAACTACCATGTCAAAAAGGACATCAAAACCGCTTTTAAAGAAAATTTTTAAAATAACACTGCACTGCAATACTTACAAAATTACCCTAGAGCTAGTACTTTAGAAAGAAAATAAAGCAAAGTAAAAAAATAAGAAAATAAGCCTTTGAGTAATCTAATTGAGAAGAAAAATACAGAAATTTGAGTAGTACTATAAACAGACAATACAATGCAAGTGTATAAAAGTCTATGCTAATAAAGTTTGAAATCTCAATGAAACAAGACAACTTTTTAGGAAAGAACAAATTACTAAAACAGACCTAATGACAATAACATGAGTAAAACAATGATGGCAGATTGGAAAGAACACCAATGAATGACCTTTAACATAGTCTTCAGTGAAAAACAGTTCTACCAAAGGAACTTTCCAGAATATATAAGAGAAAAATACAAAAGGTATCCCATTAATTTTACAAAGGCATCCCATTAATTTTACAAAGGCAGTTTAACCCTATAACTAAAACCTCACAAAGAGTACAAAATTGAAAGTTAGGTACCAACAATTTCATTTGTAAATATAGATGGGAAAACTCTAAAATTAGCAAACCAAATTTTACAGGGCATTAAAAGATTTTTCCTTTGGATAAAATATACTATTACAGGCTGGGCGTGGTGGCTCACACCTGTAATCCCAGCACTTTGGGAGGGTGAAGTGGATGGATCACCTCAGGTCAGGAGTTTGAGATCAGCCTGGTAAAAACCCATGGTGGAAACCCATCTCTACTAAAAATATAAAAATCAGCCAGGTGTGGTGGTGCACACCTGTAATCCCAGCTACTCGGGAAGCTGAGACAAGAGAATCACTTGAAACTGGCAGGCGGAGACTGCAGTGAGCCGTGATTGTGCCACTGCACTCCAGCCTAGACAGCAACTCTGTCTCAAAAAAAAACAAAACAAAACAAATTACTATCACAGGAATGCAGAAGATTTTGAAACTAGAAAAACATTTCATAATTCACCACATCTTTTAAAAGTCAAGGGGAAAAATATATATAAACTCTCAATAAAAGCTGAAAATGTGAGATAGGCCTAATGCTAAATGTATTCAATTGTAGAGAAGGCCAAACTCTTAGAAAAACAAAACTAGCAAGGTAATTTTTCAACATATCATGTCTATTGAAAACAACTGCTAATCAGGATCAAGACCAGACTCCTTAAAGTGCTGCCATGATGATTATTTAATACTGTTGTGGAAATTCTGAAGGAAAAAAAAAAAAGGCACAGAAACATGACAGTTAACTCTTAAAAAAGAGCCAAACTCTCACTATATGCAAAAAAATTGTAATAAATATTAAGAAGGTACAAGGCAATAGCTGTGAAATATTTAAAATGAGTTTAGTAAAAGGGTTAGAAACCATCTCAAACCATCTGTGCAAGAACTCGTTTTCAATTCAGGCTCTAATGAATTCCCAAAGACAAAATGTTCTAAAAGTAGAATGTAGTGATGGCTACAAAACTTGTATCTACCAAAAATAATTGAAATGTACACTTAAAACTGGTAGACTTATGGTATGTAAATTATACTTCAAAAAAAATTTTTTTAAAAAAGGATAGCACCTGTAAAATTATACCTCAATAAAGGTTGCTTTAAAAAAATTAAATAAGGGCCAGGCGCAGTGACTTACGCCTGTAATCCCAACACTCTGGGAGGCCCAGACGCGCAGATCACGAGGTCAGGAGTTGAGACCAGACTGACCAACATGGCGAAACCCCATCTCTACTAAAAATACAAAACTTAGCCGGGTGTGGTGGCGTGCATCTGTAATCCCACTCAGGAGGCTGAGGCAGGAGAATCGCTTGAACACAGAAGGCAGAAGTTGCAGTGAGCCGAGATCATGCCATTGCACTCCAGTCACTGCAATCCAGCCTGGCAACAGAGCGAAAGTCCATCTCAAAAAAAAAAAATTTTTTTTTAAGTAAGACCAGGCGTGGTGACTCAAGCCTATAATCCCAGCACTATGTATGGGAGGCCGAGGTGGGCGGATCACTTGAGGTCAGGAGTTTGAGACCAGCCTGGCCAACTTGGTGAAACCCCGTCTCTATTAAAAACACAAAAATTAGCTGGGCATGGTGGCACATGTCTGTCGTCTCAGCTACTCGGGAGGTTGAGGCACAAGAATCGCTTGAACCCAGAAGGCGGAGGTTGCAGTGAGCTGAGACTGCGCTACTGCACTACAGCCTGAGCAACAGAGGGAGACTCCGTCTCAAAAAAAAAAAAAAAAAAAAAAAAAAGACAGAACTTATTATCTGTATTCTGCTACGTGAGTAGAGTGAAGAACTAAGGACTTTTTAATTTCAACTGCTGGTGGATTGGTTAATGGAAACCTGTACCACTCACTGTAAAGAATGAAGTAGATCTATCCACATAAGTCTCGTCAGGTATAAATTTCTTTTTCCAAAATGTTCTCTACTCACCTATCTGTGAGCCCCCTGACTGTGATTAATAGGATTAAAAGGTCATATAATAGCTTTATTGAGAAATAATTCATATACCATACAATTTACCCATTTTAATGTACACGATTCAATGGTCTTTAGTACATTCACAGATACGTGCAACCATTAGAACGGTCAATTGCAGAACTTTTTTTTTTTTTTAGAGATGGAGTCTCGCTCAGTCGCCCAGGCTGGAGTGTAGAGGCGTGATCTCAGCTTACTGCAAGCTCCGCCTCCTGGGTTCACACCATTCTCCTGTCTCAGCCCCTCAAGCAGCTGGGACTACAGGCGCCTGCCACCATGCCTGGCTAATTTTTTGTGTTTTTTTTAGTAGAGACGGGGTTTCACCGTGTTAGCCAAGATGGTCTCGATCTCCTGATCTTGTGATCCGCCCATTTTGGCCTCCCAAAGTGCTGGGATTACAGGCGTCAGCCACTGCGCCTGGCCTGCAGAACATTTTTTTATCTCCTCATAAAGAAATCCTAAAACAGTTAAAGACAAATTTTACATTTTATATATATTTTACAACAAAAATCTTTTTCTCCATTTAAAAGAAGAAAAAAAAGAAAAACCCATAAACTCTTTTTTATTATTATTATTATTATTATTATTATTATTATTATTAATTTTGGGATAAGGTCCTGCTCTGTCACCCAGGCTGGAGTGCAGTGGTGCAATCATAGCTCACTACAACCTCAACCTTGTGGGTTCAAGCGATCCTCTTACCTCAGCCTCCTGAGTAGCTGGAACTACAGGTATGTGCCACTGCACCTGGCTAATTTTGATAGTTTTTGGTAGAGACAAGGTTTTGCCATGTTGCCCAGACTGGTCTTGAACTCCTGGGCTCAAGTGATCCTCCCGCCTTGGCCTCCCAAAGTGCTAGGATCACAGGTGTGAACAACCATGCCCAGCCTCCATAAACTCTTTTTTTTTTTTTTTTTTTTTTGAGACAGTCTTGCTCTGTCACCCAGGCTGGAGTGCAGTAGCACTATCTCAGGTCACTGCAACCTCCCCATCTCGGGTACAAGCAATTCTCCTGTCTCAGCCTCCTGATGAGCTGGGACTACAAGTGCATGCCACCATGCCCAGCTAATTTTTTTTTTTTTTAAGTAGAGACAGGGTTTCACTGTGTTAGCCAGGATGGTCTCGATCTCCTGACCGTGTGATCTGCCAGCCTCGGCCTCCCAAAGTGCTGGGATTACAGGCATGAGCCACCGCATCCGGCCCATAAATTCTTTAGCTATCAGTCTCCTGTCTCCTTACCTACCTCCCAGATCTAGGCAATAATTTACTTTCTGTCCCTAGAGATTTGGCCATTCTAGACATTTCATATAAATGTAATCATATATGTGGTCTTTTGTAATTGACTTCTTTCATTTAGCATGATGTCAAAATTCATGACTAATGAGGTTGAGGATCTTTTCATGTGCTTCTTGGCCATCTGTATATTTTCTTTGGAGAAATCTTGACTCAAGATCCTTTGCCTATTTTTAAAATTGAGTGTCTTTTTATTATTGACTTGTAAGAGTTCTTCATATATTCAAGACCCAAGTCCTTTGTCAGATATATCATTTGCAAATATTTTCTCCTGTTATCGTTTCACTGTTTTGAAGCAGGAAAGTTTTTAATCTTGATGAAGTCCAATTTATCCTGTTGTCCATACTTTTAGTGTCCCATCTAAGAAGGCTTTGCCAAAGCAAATGTTATGCAGATTTATCCCTACATTTTCTTCTAAGAGTATTATAGTTTTAACTGTTAAATTTATGTCTCTCATCTATTTTAATTTTTTTTTTTTTTTTTTTTAGATGGAGGCTTGCTCTGATACCCAGGCTGGAGTGCAGTGGCATGATCTCGGCTCACTGCAACCTCTGCCTCCCAGGTTCAAGTGATTCTCTTGCCTCAGCCCCCCAAGTAGCTGGGATTACAAGCACATGCCTCCATGCCCGGCTAATTTTTTTTATTTTTAGTAAAGACAGGGTTTGCCCATGTTGGCCAGACTGGTCTCGAACTCCTAATCTTGGGTGATCTGCCCGCCTTGGCCTCCCAAAGTGCTGGGATTACAGGCATGAGCCATCATGCTTGGCCTGGGTTAATTTTTATATATAGTATGAGGTAGCAATCCAATTTCATTCTTTCGCATTTAGAAAGCAAAAAATTATCTAAAACAAAAATTATGGCATTGTATTATATGTTTGTAATATATGCAGATACAATACATATGACAAGAATAGCATAAAGAATATGGAAAGGGGTAAATACTTTCTACATTTTACTTGACATGATAGAATATTAACAAATGAACTTGTAAAAAAGATGGGATGTTCTTCTAGTAGAAAGTAAGGTAACAGTAGGAAAGCTTGCAAAAGTGTTTATTTACATAATAAAACACTGTGTAGAACAGAACCAAATGAACTGTAAGTAACTAAAGAAGAACACAAT